AATATGGTTAATATCAAGAAAGTATTAAGTAAAGGAAAATTCTTCACAGAAACAACAAGCACGATGATGGCATCGGCGGTGTCAGCAATAGCGACAGTAGTAACAACAATGAAAGCAATAACAAGAGACATGATAATTATCACCAATAGTAAATGTACAGAACCATAAAAAAAATCAACAAGCAGTAGGTAACTAATGCACAAAGAAATCAATAATAGAATAGAAATTGATTATGTGCGTAAGAGGTATAGTTATAGTTAAAAGCAAAATTATAGTGATTGAGTGGTAGAAAACGTGGAAACCGTCAAAAAAAAAAACAAATCTACATGAATAATGTGAAATTTGACGATGAGGATAATGATGATACAGAATAAATAGTATTCATATTAGTCCCAATGTTACAAATCATTTACACATGAATCAATCCATAAGAAAAGGAAAGAAAATAGAGGGGGGAGGGCAAGCGAAGAGACAAAGTTATTTACATAATGAGATGAAAGATTACCAGAATCTGTCGTAAGCAATATAGAAATGATACAAATTTCAAAGGAAGAAAACTCAATACATAATACATTGATGTTGTCGTATATCTCAAAGAAATTTAAGTGTTTCTTATAGGTAGAATAGCAAATTCAGTAAGTACACACTTAAGAGTGAGTTGGGAATAGTGGGACAGAAGTATAAAAATAAAAGTGTGATACTTTTGAATAGAATATTCGACTAGTTATGCATATTTGTTTATAGTTAGAAGCAACAGACAACACAGAGATGATTATTATTTGACGTAGACAAACGCACATATACATACATGTAATATGGAATAAAATAGTAGAGAGTAGAAAATCTTGGATCAGATTTAGCAGATAAAAATAGTGTTTAATTAGTGTTGTTATAGTTATGAGTAGTTCGTTCTCAGTTAGTATCTTTTTTACAGTTATTATTATTACTACTACTACCACCACTACTGAAAGTGTGATCAGGATTAGGATCATTGTTATCTTCATTTGTACTAGTTGGTGTTGTGCCGTTTGTAGTAGCAGTAGAGCTAGTAGAAGTAGTGATAATCGTCGTCATAGTAGTAACAGGAATTCTTTGCAAATTATCAGTATCCTCATCAATATTAACATCATTGATCACATCTACAGTAAACTTATCCTCAACAATTGGCGTATTTAATTCAAATGGTTTAGAAGTTCGACGACGTTTATGCTTTATGCCATCTTTGCGCGAATTGATATTACGTAGAGATGAAGATGAAGAACCATTAGTTGGCATCGAATCACCAGTAGTATCTTGATTAAAGCTTGATTCTGATGTTGGTATGCTACCATCAATATTGGTACCAGGTTCTGTCAATAATAATGTACCAGATTCCAATTGATTTACTCTTGTATATTGATCGACATCTTGTTCATCATCTTCATAATCTTCTTCTTCTTCTTCGGCAACTGGTTCTAAACCAGGATCTTCTTTAACCTCTAGAACCTTGAGGAAGTTATATAGTTTGAGGACGGTGGGGGAAGGAGAAAACATAAGAAAATAAGCAAGGCAGGTTAGATAAGAAATTACACAAAAACTTAAGGCTGTACAATATCGAATATTATTTTTTACGAAATTAACTACAAAAAAGTGAGTTATCTAACTCTATTCTTAACGAACAAATTCTCCATGAGAGTTCTTGAAAGCATTCTATTTGAGCAGACTGTTAATTATTAGATTCGTACCAAAATATTCCAGAATAAAGCACAGTGCAAATTTGAACAAAACATTCTGCTCAGATTTGTATGTCTTTATACGTATAACTTCGTTTTCATATTTTAATCATGTACGTGTTTGTGTGAACTAGTTTGAAAATATAATTTTAACCAGCTGATGAGGTACAGATACAAACCTTAAGTTCCCATCAAAAAAAGTAAATTGTTCAAAGTAGATAGTAACTTTCTATGCACCACATTACAAAACGTAATTATATCGCTATTGTTGTTAGTTAGTCAACTTATCAATTACTGACTTACGTTTAGTAAGATTAAAATTTTATTACATAATTTCAAGACTGATTACTCAAGGCATACATGCAATACTTTGATAAAAACTAATTATGAAATATTGACCAGGAAATTTCAGGTTGTTTTTAGCTGAATTTTAACATGTTGCACACTGATATTATAGTTATGTTTAAAGGGCTGCTACACGGCATTCTAAGTCCACTTTAAAAGTATTCAAATGTCATAAGTGATATATACTGATACAGCCCTTCACATCTAACCGATTAAAGCCAAACATTTCGATTTAAAATAAATAATTATTAACTGTAAATACCTACGAAACAATTAAACGAATAGTCGAGAATAGTATTTCGATATTTGTTAGATCTCTCTCCTTCTTTTTGAGACCTAATATCTAATACCAAAAGAGCAACTACTATAAAAGCTCTACTCACTTCAACAGATTGAGCTGGAAGTGATAATGATACTACTGGAGTAGGAACTGTACCACCACCACTGACTACAGATGCAGGAATAACAGTAGCGGGTAGTTTTAAACCACCGACATTGACCAAAGAAACAGACTCATCTGTCATAGGTATTGTTGTACCAGTAGTATTAGCAGTAGTATCCAATGTCTTACTATCCAACAATCCAGTGACAACACCACTGGCAGCTAATGTCGACGTTGGCGCCGTTGAGAAAATCATATGGTGACCGGATGATATCGGTAGACAATTTACAGAAGATTGTGAAACAATAGATGGTGATAATTGATCAGTGGTTGTAGTCTGTAACTTGAAGGCATCGATCACTGTCAATGAAGTTGAGGATGGTGCCACCGTCGGTTGATTTACCGCATAATGACTGTCAACGACGTCAACACGTCTGCTGGTAGATATCGGATCAACTGGTGCCATACAATTCACGTCTATGGATTGATATTCACTGACCATATAACCCACTTGTTGTTGCTGTATATAATATTCATGATCAGTCGTCGGCAACGTCGGTGAAATGGTATTATATTCATAACTATAATTTGTATGGTCCACATGATTGGGCACTAGCTCAATGGGACTGTATGATGATTTTGGCTTATTGGAAAATCCTCTTTTTGATAACCAACGTAAAGGACAGCCAAGAAGACAAGACGCAAACAAAGCAAAAGCAGAAAATATAAAAGCCATAGATGATGCGTTATGAATTGGAGCATTATGCACTGTAGAAATACTGAATGGTGGTGATTTATCTATTTGTAAATCTCTTAAATAACCTAGAGGATAAAAGTAAGCACAAAAAAACAACATCAAGAAGTGAGCGAAAAAATTCAATCGGAAAACGCGAAACTATCACATTCTTCTCTATGCTACTTATAAGTAGGATTGATTTTTATAAGGTATAAATATGGCAATGCAATGAAGGAGAAGAATGATGAGGATGAATAGACGACATGCATTATCACAGAAATAGATGATAATGAAATAAAATTTGATTTCAGTAAATTACAACATTATTTATTGACATGAAAAAGTAGTGTATCCTACTTCAAATCATTTAAATTGAATTACAGAATGAGAGAACAATCGAAAAAAAAAAACTGAGAAAATGTTCAGAAATTGCACGCACACCCACACAGTAATATCTGTGTATGCGTAATGAGAACAGACAACGATCTCTAAATAGACAAAATTGAAAATAATTTATATCAAATTAATTTAGAATGAATGACAGTTCTATTCGAATCATTATCCGTTCTTAGAAGGGAATTATTGTACATAAGTTAGTAGTGTTTAAGAAAAGTTGGATATTGGCTAACAGTGGAACCTAAGATGTGAATTTTATTTTATTTAAGACTCATTAGCCGGATGTTCCTACCAAGTTCAGTCCTTAATAGAAACAACATGAAAATTGGAACCCATACAATCAAAATAAGTGAGCAGTAGTTCAAAGTGCTAAATTTCTCTTTTAAACTATAGTTTTTATTTTAACGTTCTACTAATCATCCGTAACTATCCATCTAACTTAATCAAGATATAGCAATAATGGATGGGTTGAAGTTAGGCTTTTACATTATTGGAAACCGGCTCAGTGGTGTAGAGGTCAATCTTTGGTGCGTGAGACAGAGGGTCTTGTGTTTGAGTCCTGTGTATGTGTGCACAGATGAGGAGTCCTATACTGGGATGAAAAAGCCTTTCAGTGCTTCCACATTTCCAATGATGGTCTAGCTTAGATCGACTCGTAATTTCAACTGTCTAGACATATTTATTGAAAATGATTGCTTTTTGAAAACCTGGAATATTAGATAAGTTGATTGGAGTGTGATAAATGACCATAAGCAAAACACTTAAATTAATATGATGAAATAACACCATTGAATATACAAGTATAAAACGACGGTAATCTGATCAAATTAAATAGCTAATAATTAATTAGATATCTGATCTACAAACAGAAGATGAAATATAGAATTATTTCCAAATTATGCATATTCCCAAATCCGATCCATGATTAGCTGGTAACTGTGATATACAAAACCAGTGAGTATGAGTATCACAGGTCGTGAAACGCTTATTTATTGAACTCTCAGTTTTTTCGGATCTTTCAATGCAACAAAAAAGTCTTTCTATCGGGTACTCTCACGCGGTAAACGTTAACCATCGAGAAAAACTTTCACTAAGAAACACTTGCCCCCAAATGCTCTGGTACGGCCGAGAGTGGGGAGAGTCCGCTCTCCCTCACGAAATGCTCTCACATGGCCACGCATATATAGACTCTGCCAGGGAAGTCCTACTCACTGCCTTCTCGCACCACGGGTGTTGTTTACGAAAATGAGAGGACGAAAAGCGAATTTCCGGCGCTTTAACCGGATACCAAACCAATCGTGCACATGGGCTCCAGTATCCTGAAGGAACGAATGGCGTATGAACCAATCGTTGGTGACCGGCTACCATGGGACTGCATCTCCTTACGATGCTCCACTGCCTTGTGGGTCAGACGTCCAGGTTGAAGGCTCGGGGTGTGGCCCCCTAAGAAAACCACCTGCTTCGGTTTGGGCATCCGGGCAGTATCACAGCCCTCACATGAATCAATTGAGATTCGTGTGGCGCATATGTATTTGGTGCCTCCTTGTACCAATACCTATGCGTTAAAATAAAATAAATAAATAAAAATTCTATGTATTGTGATATCATTTATTTATTATAAACTAATACAATTATATCTCGATTTAATCATTAAAACTTTAATGAAAGTTGGGTAAAACTTATTAATCAAATAAATGTAGACATCCTTGTCAACAAAGAAGATGATAATGCTGCTAATGATAACGAATAATAAATCGATACATTACATGATATTATATAAAACAATATTATCAGAATTGATTATATTGACAATGTGATTATAAAGTATATGATGAGAAATTATTATTTATCTAATCTATTAGAAAAATTAAATCAGATCAAAAATGAAATAGGATTTAATACAGAGGAAATAATCACTTCTTACTACATTGTCATTCTTATACACCAGATAAGAACTCTAAGTAGAGATGATAAAATAACAATAAATAAATGTTAAAAGAATGCATGTACTACTATTATTATGATTGTTATTAGCCAATAAACTGAATGTGAACAAGTAGCTTGGTGATTTTAAAACAACTAACCAGTGTTACTTACAGATAATATTTTAACTAGGTCACAAATATCTAAAGTGTACATCAAAGCTAAGTACATAAGCACTCGTATTTGATAAGTGAATTACAGTGAACTCAGTTTATCTTATTGGCACACAGAACAATTGTAAACACGTGAGAAAATAGCTTGTATGATAAGTCTCGTTAGTCTTACACCTTATCCTAATTATATCATTTAATTTATCATTATAAGGATGTATTTGGAACAGCTGATTAATTTAAATAAAATCAATCTAAAAATCATTATATTGGAAAAAAAATCAAGCAACAATTACGACAGTATACTTAACACAATGAATTTTGTTATTCTGTGACCCTTATTTTTGTATTCTTCTGTTTCGTTATAAAAGTTTATAAGTAGCCCGCGCAATGGGATTGAAATATCCCATCATTTCATTGTTTATCTCTCATCTTGCAAAATATCTATCATTGCGGAAACGATCATGACATTGTTGTTATCCATTTCTTGGTGAAAAATCATGTTCTTATTACACTGATTAATACAGACAATTGGAATAACAGAAAGATTGGAAGGATGCAAGAGTCTTTAAAGGAGAACTCAAAGAAGATGTGCAAACAATGTATTCAATATAATATTCATATATATTTTACAAATGTAGTGTATGACTTTGCATAATAATACATTGGTTTACCCTATTCAAGTCTTCCTTTGTTACAGTACTTGTATTACAATGATTAATGTACTTATTATTAATTGTTGAAAAGAATTTATTGATTTTCTCTCTATAAAAACAAACATTTTAATGCAAAATTAACTCAATTTAATCACAAACAATCAGAAATATGTTATTTATATGGAAGAAAGAAAAAAAAAAGAGAAAGCACTATACAAAGTAGATAAATGTATTTTAGAAAATATTTTTCAAAGGAAAAAGAAACAACGACTTATACTTGCATCAATCCATAAAGAATAAATGAAAATGTGTACAGTTAGAAAATATTTTACACAATCATATTGTTTATATGTACTTATTAAACAAATGGTTTATGGTATTCGTTTTGAACACACTATTTTAATTATCAAGTTCTATTTGATTTATATTTATGGTATAGTTGTTTAATGCACATAGTAGTTATGTCCTAGTGGGTGGCTTATGCTTCTTCACGATGGGTAATAATATGTAAGTAAATAAATAAGTAGTCATGTAGGTTTTTTATATCAGATTAATACCAAATAGTGTGAAATACTTGTCTTGGTCAGTTATCTAAGTGTTCTGAATAGTAAACTTGGGAATAAATAAGCATTTATAGTTGGCTAATGATTGTTTAATATGTAAATAATAGCTGATTGACTAATTGCTGTTCGTTAGAATAATAGCATGAAAAAACTATCATAACATTAACTGTCAATTGAGAAACTACAACAAACAATGTTGATGACGAAGTGAAGGATTGAGAAAATTTATCTTAATACATAGATAAGATCAAGTGATGTTAGGAAAATAATCACTGATGAATGAACGTATACTAAATCAATTATATAGTTTGAGTTTAATGATTTTTCATATATGCACAGTTACACTTTCCCTTTTATAAGATCTAACACAGAGCATAATATTATTCACCTATTTGAGTCATATATACCGATCACTATTTGTTAATGTTTTAACGTCTAGACATGATTTCGGTTGAACGACCGCTGAGAGCCCTCTGTCTCGATGTAGTATAGGACATGTCAGCATCGCACATCCACCTCTTCACCAAGGTCCGAAACTGGAAGATTCAGGTCCCGCTACGAAAGTGTAGGCTACAGATAAATGAGTTGGCACCTAATGAATTACATTTGTAAAGTCATTAGATGAATCAAGAACGTTTTTAGGTTAATTTTATGGAAATTCTTCTCAATTGTTGGGTTTACTGATTTTACTTGAAGTGGCGCAAAGTGATATTAAAACATTTGGCTTCTAACCTACAGATAACGAATTGTACTTGCACTCTATCTACTTAGATTTAAGTGGTGGGATAGTATACGCTAACCTTTTCATAACTAAATTGTGGAACGAATTCGAGTGCATACAGAAAAGTCATGATCAGTGAGGTGTTAAACTTCGAAATTAAAGTGAATAGTACCAGTTAACACTAAGAGAAACGAAAAACATTGTGAAGAAAGTAGTTTAAATTACAGACTTTAGTCTTCAGTCTTTGCTTGTTCATAAAAACGTATGAGACGTACCAGTGTCAGTTTTCGTGTACAGTTAAGGTTTTACAACTTGGTACATTTTATCACTAGATCATTATACTGATTAAAATTTATACAGTTAAGTATTAATAATATTAAATCTTATTAGACCGATAAGCGTTAAATCTTAAGCTTTAGTAAATCAGTCTGAAATTTGTAACTGAATTAGGTTGGAAAATGTTTCATACTACGCTATCTTAAGAACAACAATTTACCAACTCAGTATACTGGATGAGGTCATCGATACTGACGAGTATCATACTAGAACGAGACAGTATTTTAACGCTTCCCAACTTTTTAATAGTTGTTTAACCGAGGTCAATCCGTGATGAAAAACAAAAATTCATAAAGCTAGAATATTAAAATCCTAAAAGTTTGAAAGAACTCTACTCTCTGTGTAACTAAAAACAAACAAACGATAATGATTAAAATATTTTCAAAAATCCTTTCCAAGAAAAGATCCGAATTGACTTTAAGTCACATATCACGTTGTTACTTATCAACTATAATGATACAAGTGTAAAGTACAAAGTTCAAATCAGTGTTGAATGTTTTACTAACATACTGAATGTTTTACAATTTCAAGTATAGAATTATTTTAGTAAAAACAAAACACTTACCTGCAACTGGCGGACCGACAGCAGCTGCAAAGCCTTGAAATAAAAGTAAGTAGCCAAATGCATTAGTCAAACGATCAATACCAATTAATTCCACGACTAGAATACTTTTCAACGATACGAATACAGCTAGAAGATTTTGTTTGTTTGTTGTTTTTTTTTTTGAAGAAAGGAAGGGAAGAAAAAAATTAGTGTACCGCATTTAATTGAGGTAATTTTATTGTAAAAACATTGATGATTGATTTATTGAAAACTATAGTAGGCAAGGCATGATAATAAATACAGATCATATAGTAATGATTTAATAAACTGGTTTAATTTGTTATTGAGACATTAATATAAATATTCTTATCTACTATCATTGTCGTATTGATTCATGCTAATTGGATTTCAGAAACACTTGAAATAAATTTTATTTATAATGAATAAATGATAAGAGAACAGATCAATTACCTTAGAATTTTCATTAAAATTACACGACTCGAGGTCAGGGCAAGGGTGTACTAGGCTTACTACTATTAAAATGCTCACTTCATTTGTGGCAATACACTTATCACACTTCCGTCTTTTGAGTTTAAAATACCCAAGAGAGAGCTCAGAAGTAAGGCTCTTTAACTGTCTTGTTGATTCACGTATCATCATTTTCATACTCAAAATAAAGAATCTCCCTAAACCCCTAAGGGAATGATAACCATGTGCACACTAAATGTTAGTTTTCAGAGATAATTCTCTAAGTCCTAGTGACCAGCGGAATTCAATTATGAAAAGTGTAAGACAGTTACATGGTTGCACAATATCAAGAATTAACAAAAGTTAAGAATTCATCAATGGATGGTAGCTCAACGTTCCTCAAGTTTTAACCTTCGCCAAGTAACCTAAAGGTCATGGATTCTATTTCTGATAGGGTTGTGAAAGTGCTGTCATGAAGTCCCAAACTAGAATGTAACAGTTGTCCAGTGGTTCCTAATCTTCAATGGTCATTTAGTTAAGATTAATCAGTTATGTAAACTGTGAATATCTTCATGCACTTTATTAACTAAATAAAGACAGATGAAAGTCAGATTGACTCAAGGTGGTAGATAACTGCTCATTTGTTTAGTTACTGACATAACTAAGCAACCTCAGTAGCTCAGTTACAGTAAATACAATGAACACACACAAAAGTTCCACAGTCTCAAATATTTTGTACATTAAAATATTCACTTCTTTGGTCAGTTAATTGCTATGAGAATAAGCATTTTCATGTATGAAAGTACAAATTAAGAGTCAGTATATTATTCTTAGTAATAAGAAAAGAACTTTTGGCAATTCATACATAACAAAACACATTAAACTAACGCTGTTAACACTAGAGATTCAGTATATAAATGTATATTTTATTAATAAATAGTGCACATTAGTAACATAATTAAACATATTACTATAACATTTTGTATTTGCTATCCAAATTTGTACCTAAATTGATACACTGACGTTGACAGTGATTTAACTTCTCTGATTATTCAAACTATTTAGATTATCAAAATGAAGCATACAGTAATATCCCCAAAACGTAAGAATATTTAATAAGTACATCATTAATCATACCACAACTGACATCATCATTATCAACATCAACATACCTGAGAAAAGTCCAAAACCACATGAGATTAAAACTAAAGCTGCATAATATCGTCTTACAATCGGGAGTAGAAATACAGTTACACTAGTTAACAATAAAGAGATATTATTCATCCACAATGAATCAGCCCATTTATAAGTTGTAGACCAAGCTATAAAAATTAAGAAAACAAATTAATTACCACTTGCAAATTGTATTTAATAAATGCTGGGATTAGGAGTAGGATATTGTGTAAAACAAAGTTGGATTAATAGATAAATCTGTATAAGTGGTTAGAGGATTTTTTAAAGCACATATAACCGTTATCTACCTCAACATGTAATGTTATTTTTAATGGAATTAGGTTGGGAAGAAAGATAACAAGTGTGTCCACACACGACATCAATCTATCAAGTAACTGACCGTTGATCTGAAACGTATTAGAAGGTACGGACTTATAGGTTAGCGTCCTTGAGATAGTTATGATCAATGGTTGGAGATGTTCAGTGACATATAGCAATTTCATAAGTGTGAAATAAGATTTATCATATATCTTCGTCTATATCTTCAGATATCGTTTTATACATCACTTTCACTTGTTAACCTCTCGAAGCTTTTTCTAGTTATACCACTCGTGGTGTGATATTTTTATCGCATTATCTTAACTTCACCTCTCGTTATGATAATATAAAATGTAACATTGTGGGATGATTGGAAATTCATGCCATAATAGCTCGAACTGAATGGTTATTGGAAGAAAATCACGAAGACGCTGAGTAGCAATTGCTGTGGCAAGGGCCGCATTCCCACAGTTGAAAAGCATATAGAACTCAAAACAACTGTCTGTCAACAAACACCAAAGTCACAATCTTCAATACGAACGTCAACGTAGTTCTACTGTACGGAGTTGAAACTTGGAGAACTACCACAACCATAATCGAAAAGTACAAATATTTATAAATAATTGTGTATGCAAGATACTCAATGTCCGTTGACTGGATACCATCAGCAACAGCCTACTGTTGGAGAGAACAAACCAGCTTTCAGATAAAGAGGAGATTAGGACAAGATGTTAGAAGTGAGTAGGACATACATTTCGAAAACCATCAAACTGCATCACGAGACAAGAGCTAATCAGAACGATGAAGATAAATGGAAAAGAGGAAGACCGAAGAACACACTACGTCGGGAATCGGAAGCAGACATGGAAAGGATGAATAGCAACTGGAAATAGCTGGAAAGGATGTCCCAGGACAGGGTTGGATGAAGAGTGTTGGTGGGCGGCTTATGCTACTCCACAAACATAAGTGAAACCTAAATCCCGAATAGAATTAGTTTGTCATCCAGTTGTTGATGTGGAATCACAAATGAAATAGAGGTATAAAAAAATGATTTCCAATTACTTAACGAATGGGTATTTTTCTGGAGTCTTACATACTTTATCAATAGATCGTACTGTACTTTTCACTTGTTCACAAAACAGAACACGGAGGTGAACTGTTTTCAAAGTGGTAGAGTAAAAAAATATGGATGAATTGACTGGTGTTTACTGGATTCTGTTCCGGTAACAACAAGATAACCTGTTTTCCATGCTGTTTATTCATTCTTATTAATTTTATTGGTATCATAAAAAGTGGTCTGTTGATAATTTACTACTTTACAAATCTCTGGTTATTTACCTTTTGCATAAACACTGTTTTTGTAATAGATAAGATGAAAAAAAATAATAACATTTGCTAGACGTCATTGTTCACATGATTTTATAAGAAGGCCTGGAATATTCCAATACATTGATTATAAGTAAAATATAGTAATTCAACACTTAACAATAATCAATGCTAAACCATGTCCACACAATCAAAATGGGACAATTTGGGTTATTCTATTTTCAAGACCGACCTTTTCCCAACCCTTTCCTTCCGTTATGAGAAGTTGGCATACTTACAGATAATGATTGTCTAGGGAAAACAGCTTACTGTCATCTTAACTCAGTGAAAAGATTGTAAGAATTCATTAATGGGATAAAGTCAGATGTAAATTTAAAAATCTTAGCGAAACTTTATGTTATCTAGTAACCTTTAAAAATTATGTTTCAATTTGAGACTAACCAGGAGTATACTTTACAAAATGATTAGTATAATTCATGATAAACAGTGAGGATAAAATTTGATTTACCTCTAATTAACATTAATCAACTGAGGAATGATTGAGTGGAGATATAATAGAGGCAACAACAATCAGTGGGAAAAAAGAAACAGGTTGTCAGAAAACAACTGTCAAAAGAACACCTCAAGTTCAATATTTAGGGCATTATCTAGTTAGTTATTATGTTGTGTACTACTTTTATGGACAGAAATAAGTAGCATTTATGAGGAATAGAAAGTAGAATTGTTATAGACAGAGAAGGAAAATGAGGAGAGAAAGAAAAATAGAAGCAGTGACAACAGGAATGAGAGTCTGAGTTTCAAATTGTCTAGGAAATTGATCCGAGAATTCATTTAGAAAACGCATTAAATTAAATATATTTATTGAATAATTGTATTTCCATATTCTCTATGTCTTGAACTATCGTCAAACAATGGTGCACATGGGCTCCAGTATCCTGAAGGAACAAATGGCGTATGAACCAATCGTTGGTCACCGGCTACCATGGGACTGCATCTCCTCACGATGCTCCACTGCCTTGTGGGTCAGACGTCCAGGTCGAAGGCTCGGGGTGTGGCCCCCTAAGAAAACCACCTGCTTCGGTTTGGGCACCCGGGCAGTATCACAGCCCTCACATGAATCAATTGAGATTCGTGTGGCGCATATGTATTTGGTGCCTCCCTGTACCTATACTTATGTGTTAAAATAAATAAAATAAAATAATCGTCAAACAACGACAACAACTGTGGTCGAATACTATTATTCCTTAACTATTGCTAATTAATTAGTCACTCCATCTTCCTTTCTATGCTCTTCATGATTTCGTTGTGTATAGACTGTGATTTCCAATTTGATGTATGTCCCGTCTCATAATCTTTGTGTATAAACACATTAATGTGTGAGTTATGATAAACCATAAAAAAATTAGCGAAGATATCAGCTTGTTAATTCCATTTTTTGAATGGACACTGATCTGGAAGAAATTCAGTTTTCAAATAAACTCTTTAGGTGATAATTTTGTGGTAGAATTTGGTAACCAAAACAGAAATACGTAATTTATACGGGTTAGTGTATAGTCATGGTCTAGCTGTTCACTAATAGCAGGTCACAGTATAAACAACCCTTTTATTATACTAATTTGCCTTGACCAGTCAAAACATATCCAGTTAGTTATAAGTAACATCTTTGAAAACATTCAGCGAGATTTATTGACTTACTCCTATTATCAATCCTTTTCTTATTTTACAAATTTTTTTTCTTAAAAAAATTATTCTTAGTTTTTCGCAAATAAATCTGTGGTCAGTTTGTTTGAAATGTACAACGACTCTACTATGTTATAAAATGGTTGTGAATTTTAAAAATAAACAAACTGGTCCTCCCATTTAAACTATTGAAATTTATGCAAAAAGGATAAATAAAAATAATCTAAGGAAAATTCTTTAAAATAAAACACTAACAAGCTGAGACATTCAAAAATACAATCATGAAAGATAATAAAACAAAGACAATCATAATTTGATTAAATCAATTTTGTAACTAACTGAAATTCAGTAAATAAATAAAATTTTATGGTTGATATTATAAATCGTCTTTTAAATCAAATGAATCTTATGGATTCTTAATAAATAAAAGATTTTCGTTTTAGCAATAAAAATAGCTTGACAATTATTCGGAGAAGGTTGATAAGTATGTTCTTTTTTAAAAACTAACTCGGGGGATCGAATCTAGGACTTTTAATTTTGTGTGCGAATGCATAACTGCTAGGTTAGTATTTGACCACATATGTCTGAGAAATATTGCTCGTATCCGCTGGGAACACCGGGTAAGTAATAGTGAGGTCAGACGCAAAGTATTAAGGAATGATGGTAAATATTGATGAGGTTGTAAATCTTCATCGACTGAGATGGTTGGGCCACGTGTTACATATGCCTGAACACCGATTACCATGACGCGAAATGCTGACTAGTGTTGAGGATAGTCGGGAGAAAGTTAGGGGCGGCCAAACAAAAGCGTGGTATCAGTGCTTAAAGTCACTAACTTCTGGTCTGAGCCATGTTCGTAGATGCAGACTACTTAGCAAGAGTCCGCGTGACTATGGGTGACATGACTCAGAATCAATCACATTGACGTAGGTCTATACACTCTTTGTCTTCCTTTCAACCATAAGATTAAAATCGCTACGAACTAATTCTTTCCTCCCGTACTATCTCCTTACATGCGATCTTTCTTCCATATGTTGCCACCACTGAATTAACTACTGCTATGAATTCGGTTTTGTTCATCTTGTTGTGCTAATGCGGTATGGCAACTTCAACCGATGCATATATGTGCCTCGTCCTATGTTGTAACTGACTGAGTGAATGACTTAGTCAATTATTTTTTTGGGAACAATTTTATTTGAGAAACGGTATAGCTACTAATCAGTGCATATAATTTTTTTGGATTTCATAATCATTTGATTTGACTTAGGAGGTAATCAATGTTACGAAATTCGTCACGTAGTAATCAATCAGATGTTAAACTATTCAAACATTACTAGTTAAAATAGATTGGATTCAATAAAGCTACTTATAAGTAGAGTTGACAAATAGTTAACAAAATAATCTTGTTCAGTTCATTGGTTTATGGAAATTTGTATATTTTGGATAGAACTATTTCGGACCCACAAAAGAGAATCAGTTGTCTAAAGACTACAGATGCACCTTGTTGATGAGTGTGACATACCACGAAACCAAGGTTCAGGGTTTGATGTGGACTACCTAAAGTCACGCTATACGAAACATATGTCCATCGCTTCACTCGATGTAGTTTCGCTATATAATCAACCGGTATTCCATCTTTAATTAGGAATCTGAGTCTATTTTATAAACTGTTTACTCAATAGGCTCAACAAATGGGTGCAACGCTTTCTAGGTGTTTGTGATCGAAGTTTACCATTAACTTATGAATACCCTTAAAGTCCATGGCAGATGTATCATTACCACGAGTTAGAACAGAGCGAATCCCTGTGTAGTACACTTTATTCGAAAAACTGACAATCTTGCCTACGCAAAAGTTATATGTGTTTCTGAATCCGTGGTAAGATACCTAATAAACTTAAACTACTTATATAAAGCAAACGACGCGTAATGTAGCTAACTACTTTATTTATTTATTGAGTAGTATATAATTCAAATATAAAACAGCCTTGATATTACGGTGCCTTTTTAAAGGCATACTGTACGTAAAATACTCATACACGAGAATATGAAGATTAGAAAGTTTTAACACAAAGAAAAATCATATAAAACGACAATGTGGTGAAATAAAGACGTTTTCATTTTGCTTTTTCAACTTTCTAAACAAAAGGATACACAAACGACGACATTTATATTGTTACTGTTTGTTATAAAGTACAACTGAGAGCGGTAAAAGTCTCTGTTGAAACAAAAAGCAGGAACGTTTCTTTTACTTTGGAAAAACAAATCGCCACTACAGTAATTTAGTGTCAGTTGAGATGAAGTAGAACATATCAGATATGTTAAAAAAGTTGTAAATTACGGTTATGTGCAAAAAAAGTTATCGGGAAACAAAAATGTGCATTGAATGTAAGAATTGATTTATTCTTATTACCATATGTAATATAATGCAAAATTGCTTAACATTCAATCAAAGCCAATAAACAAGAAATATATCATAGTAGAATCCAACTAAACAAAGGTATCCGACTATTGGCATATAATACCTGACGCCGATTGTTTTCCACTAGACACATATGACAGTTAATTCATAAAATAAAATCAAAAACAGTTCACTTCAATACATTTTCTTTTTGAGGCTTCAGTTAATAAATAATAAATTTACTACATTTTATCTATTAATATGTGACTTTATTTCAGATATATTTAACAGTGAAACTGTAAGATAAGAGGTAAGTAAGATTATTATTTCACTTTGAAACAACATTACATAATAACTCAACTGATCAACAACAAATATACACAGTCACTGATCAGTTGTAGATATCATACATAACTTTGTAAAATATCGCCAAACTACAAATGACCTAAATTTTATTTCAATGGATAGAGAGTATTGGAAATTTTTAAAACAGGATCTAGAAGTCAGTGTGATCATGAAATGTTTTCTATTCTGATTTTAATATACGGTCATTATTAATAATATTGTCTTCTCTGTAAATATTCATAAATTCAGGATCCACAATAACTCATATACGTAGAAAGTCATTTTCATAATTAATGATAACATTGTACAGTGTTTTCCTCCATTAATTTTTGTTTAAGGCTCCTAGTGCTATAACACACAGAACCCGATTTATAATGGAAAAGAATAATCAAACACATAGTCACGGATCAATGGACGCACACAAAGCCAATGAGAATGCAAATGCATAAAAATAAACCGTCATAACTCATATTATCCAAATAAACTGACGGCGTTTGTGAAGCAATTCTAACAACTTCACTTCGTAAATCAACTAATTCAGTGTTTAGATATTTAAACCAATCAACTAAAGGTATGTGTTTAAATATCTAAACTTTAGATATAAGTGTTTTTCTATGCAGAATAGTAAGCTATTGAATAAAATAAATACTTTGAGTAAGGCATTCGTTGATTGACAATTCTGATTTCAGGTAATTCATGTTACATGGAGATCATCAAACAATATCATCGATGGAATTCAATTCACTTCAATTATCTTTAAACTGCAACCAAAGCCACAACGATTCACAAAAGAACTTGAAGGAAGCTCTCTCTCTCTCTCTAAATGTTAACCAACAGTGTGAAACATGGAGAGACTAATAATTGGTATACTTGAAAATAATAACTGATTAAAGAATAAAATGATTAAAACACACACACACACAAAGAATATTCTATTTATGAAAAAGGACATATAAAAGTAGATCTATTTAAATTTATAAATTTTTCCTACCATGTGCAAAAATCTGTTATTTTAATACAATTTACTTACCTTTTTCAATGTAGAAGGCTACGTATAAAAGTGAAATAGAAAGGTAAAATAAATGAATAAATGAAAGAGAGGAAACTGTCTATAAGTTCGGCAAATAATTCAATATATAAATAGTAATGATATTACGAACAAAAAAACATCCCATGTATGTTTCCGTTGTGGGAGCATCGGGTTAAGTATTTGAAACATTTAACTAGCAGCATTAGACCTGATATACCTGATACTAGAATTATCGATAAGAGATTCCTAACCGTTTACAAATTCTCAAGAATTCCACTAATTTGAAACCCGAACCGAAACTCTACATCTGAGGTTAGTTTATGTACAGAAAACAAAGCTATTCATGGGTTTATGTATGGTCTTTATATTCTGAAAAGCATCTGGAAATACTAAACTGAAGAAAAAAATAAGTAATTATGGAGTTAGGCACACATAATCCGTTTTTTATCTAGACGATTTCATTGCGCATGGACTGGACGAAGTGCATTTCGATTTTTTCTAGCTTTCGAAGGCTAGTTCGATGAAATTTTCAGGGCTCCCAATAAGAGTAAGCGAGTTCGAATCCTGACTCGAATTACTTCAATTAGAAGCTTGATAAGTGTTAAATAAAGTGATATCCAAACACAAACATTGTAGCATCAAAATGAACAGATACATCAATATTTAGTTGACATATATAAATAACAGAACACTGTAGAATAATAAATTATAAACAAATATGTTAAAGTTCGACTCTGATTGATCCTAACAAAACAACTGTGACATTAGAAATGATTTATCGAAAATGCAGTCGAACAAAATACTCAGTATGAGCAGAAATAGCTTGTACTCACTTAATCATTCTTCATCACCACAATATTGGTGCATATCCAACTAACTAAAGTATAATATTCACAATGACTCATTCTCTGGAGCTGAAGCTATTATTGTGCTATTAAAAAGATAAACGATTAAATGGCTAACTGTTTGGTCGATTACTGTCACAAATAAACTATACATTAATAGTTGCAATTGGTATACAACCCAAAATCCTACACATTTTCACCTTTTAAATGTTTACGCTAAAAAGTTTATCTGTTGAAAATTAGACAATATATCTTATCCAAATTATAACTGAGTCGATTAATTAGTTTTGTGGTTATATTGAAAAACTGATAGTTGGAATTTATTGATTTTTTTATCTGCAGATGTGATGGTGAAAAACGTAACAAGAAATTGGATTGATAAATAATAATAATAATAATAATAATAATAATAATAATAATAATAAACGTTCAATATATAGAATAATTGAATTTAAAGAAAACACTTACTAGCAAATAAACGTCCAAATGTATTCCCTGCACCAATTGACGAAATGATGAAACCAGAGTCTTCAAGTTTCCAATTCATTTCCGCTAATAGATCAGGTAACATTAAAAAAGGGACAACCAATCCTGAATGGAGAAAAAAAACCAAAAGACGAGTTCAAGTGACAACAAATAAATATTTCAATTATTAATATAATCTTTAGTCAGATCCAGCTACTCACTTTATGTATGAATAATAAAGCAAATTGAGCAGAAGAGGGCTATAATGTCCAAAGCTTTGAATATTACAATCACCACAAATTGTGCGTACTTACATACTAGCGGTCAGCTATATAGGTGGTGGTAGATAACCATGGTTACGTGAACAGTAAACCTTTTCACAATAGCCTGATCACACTTGGCATCTCATGTATCGTGAAACATGGTGTAATCTGTCTAGTTTGCTAAGAATATTAGTCAAATATTAGGCGATGTACAATCACAAAGGTATGTGTAACTATTCGACTGTAAGTAAGCTTGTATACTAATCTCTGAAATAATTTCCATGAGAGGATTAAAAAATCAAAAAGAACAAAATCCCTTTACAAAAACGATAATGAAAAATAACTACGAAAATTAATTTTCGGATAGGGGAGTACATTGAAATTAAGATTATTCATCCCCAAGAAAGTAAGGAATGTCATACATGTGATTACTCAGAGAATATAAACGACGACATTCGAATGTTAAATAATGCAGTATTTTTTTATAAATACGTAAGTAGCGAAAAAATAAAGTTGTGAGATCTAACATAAACATTTTTATCATTTGTTCACTAGTAACCAGATGATGGTTTCTCGAATCACAAGTAAGTGATACTCTGTCTGTACCTCTTCTAAGGTTACTGTTGGTACCAAAATCAGGTGAAGGAGAATTCGGCATGTAGTTAGCAAACCCATCTTGTAGGAAATTACAATGATAAACAACTCAAACCAATACAAACAATTTAAAACATTTAAACTCTGCCAATATAAGTTGAAAGATCTTCGTTCAGAAGAACTAAGACACCTCATGGTGAAAGCCAAGATTCTTCGGAAGTCACGACGCCGATAACCCTTCTAACAACAACAGCAACAAGTAATATACGAACATGGAATGTTGGCACAATGTGAGGGACCTGGAGGATCAACCAAATAGCTACGGAAACGAGTAGATACAACTTGACCGTGGTGCTTTAGAGCTAAGAAACGGAAATACGTCGAACACCTAGGAAGAACCATGGGAAAAAAGCTGCAAAAGAGAGAAATATCAAACAACTATATGACACAACGAAGAAACTGATAGGAAAATATTGTAAACTAGAAAGACTGGTCAAGGACAAACAAGGCGAATCAATCACTGAGAGTTAAGAATAGAGGAAGAGATGGGTGGAACACTTGTGGGCCTCTTGAATAGACCAGCTCCATTGAATACATTGGATATCGAATCAGTACACACATACTTTCTTACAGATGTCAATTTACCAATGATCGAATAAATCAGCATGGTCATCAGATAAACCAAGCAAAAGGTAAGCAGCAGCACCTGATAATATACAAGCCGAAGCACTCAAATCAGACATACGAGCAACTGCAAACATGCTCCACATTCTATTCAGGAAGATTTGGGAGAAGGAACAAGTCAAGACAGACTGGAAAGGATACCTCATCATGATACCAAAGAAAGGATATCTGAGCAAATGTGTAAACTACGGAACTATCACACTACTATCGGTACAAGGAAAACTTTACAACAGTGTTGCTGAACCGGATGAAAGATTCAATAGACGCTCATCTTCGAGATCAGGCTGGATTCCGTAAGGATCGATCGTGCACAGACTGAATCGCGACAATACGGATCATCGTTGAGCAATCAATTGAATGGAACTCATCGCTATACAGCACGTTCCTTGTCCATGAGGTGTTTGACAGTGTGGATAGGAGAACCTTATGAAATCTTCTTCGATATCTTGGTGTGCCTAAAAAAATCGTCAATATGATCTGGAATTCATTTGACAGATTTCCTTTGGCTTTTTGAAATTTTTTACACGAAATTTGAGTCGCTCAAGATGCGACTTTACTGATCATTAAGTTAATCAAACAAGGACGTTGAAAATATGATCTGTATCGAAGTTACAACAATAAAAATCCAGTTCTAACTCATTTCACTTGTTATTTATTTATTTGAAACGATCATGTGTGTGGGTCAATAGCACGAATTTTAAGAAGTATTGCTAGTGATCAGTCTAATAAAAAAAAAGTGAACTTGAAATAAGATAGCAGTGTTGTGTAACGACCGAATATGTAAACAGTGATTCTTTAGAAACTAACAACTTAGAATAAATAACTTAAAATCCTCTATAGAACTGTAGCTCACTGTATCTGATTTGTTGTAAACTCTAGGCATTCAATTACAATGTAACTCTAGTCCGATTTTGACTTCAATTAGTAGGAAGGTCGAGGATAAGGTTTCTCTTTAGCTAGTAGTATACATCAATAAAAGTGTATTAAGTATATCCTTAAGAGAAGTCATACTCAAACCTTTTCACTGAATGATTCCATACACTTACTAGCCTAGGTAATATGAAACCAAAAATACTATTACGAAACACAAAACAAATAAATATAAGAGTCAGCCTACTTTACTAAAGCTTTGAAAATGACAAACTACTAGTTGCTTACAAAAATAGGAAATTATTCAACGACACTTACAGATAATATAATTAATTCAGAATTTTAATGAAATTAGAAAAAAAATTCTATGTGAATCATGAAAAACCTGCTGACTGAAAAGGAAATTAACAATTAGATTTATCAAAATTAACTGTGTCAACTAAGGACATAGCTGAAATTGGACATTTGAACCGATCAATGTGAATAATACTTCTATGGGTATAAAAGACTTATCAAGAAAAATATGGTTAAGAAATAATAAGCCAATAACAAGTTAACATTTGACCAATGAATCGACCAGTTAGAAATAAATAGTAAACTAAATATATCGGTGGAACAATTACAGTGAAGCAAACATTATTTTATTTGCACCGAACTGCTTAATGAAAGTAAAACCTACACTGAAGCAATCATAACAATGGAAAATGACCAAACATTCTAAATTGTCCACTCTCGGATCAATCAAACTGGAGAAAATCACCACATTTCAGTTTATATTGACAACTGGCTTAGCTCTTTCATGAAGCCAAAACACCAAGCTGAACACCAACTATTAGGAAACATATGCAAATATTGACACTATGAGCTACAAAAGATTAATATTATTGTAAGTAAAGATGAATGGCGGCTAGCAGTGGAATCAAGGACGTGCGTCTCATTGAATTTAGAACTCGTCAGTTGGATTTAGCTGCTTGTGACTTAAGGCAATATCGAGGCAATGTGCACATATATCAAAAAGACTGATAAATTACAGTGATTAACATCAATGGGAAGATACAAACAAACAACACAAAATGAATTAATGTCATCGTCAGGTTCAATTTACTGCCAAACTAATTAAAGTGAAAAACGTGAACAGCACTGGATGGTAACATGATGCTCTATGGATAACATGTTCGATACAAAATCCAAGAGTGTTGGTTTCTATTTGTATTTGGATTGTTAATGTTAACTATAGGGAAATCTCATGTACAGAAAGAGTTTTCTTAGTTACTGTAGAGCCCCGAAATGCCCTGATACGACCGAGGGTGGGGAGAGTCAGCTCTCCCTCTCGAAATGCTCTCATAGGGTAATGGATATAGAGCCACTTCCAGGGAAGTCATACTCACTGGCTCATTGCGTTAGGGGTTTTGATTACGAAATTGAGAGGACGGAAAGCGAATGTTCGACGCTTTAACCGGGTCAGTGGATATGGAGGATCCATCTAGGGAAGTTGGAAAACCTTGATTTCAAACCAAAGGTACACATGAGCTCCAGGATCCTGAGGGTACAAACGGCATATGAACCAATCGATGACCACTGGCTACCATGGGACTGCATCTCCTGCCTTGTGAATCAGAACTGTAGGTCGAATGCTCCGAGTGCGGCCCATAAGAAAGCCACCTGCTTCGGTCTGGGCACCCGGGCATAAGCATAGCCCGCACGAAAATCAAGTGACTTGTGTGGCTCATATGTATTCGGTGCCTCTTTTACCAATATTTATGTGTTCAAACAAATAAATATATCTAAAATCAAATAAAACTGATTAGTTCAACTTTATCACTTACCAAGCATAGCCATCATACTTGAGAAAAGAAAAAATAAGAATGTAATATTGGACAATAGTTTCGGTGATAATAAATCTTGCATAAATATACCGATCGGATTATATGTCCAACAACAGAATAGTGAACTACCAAATAATCTGATACAGTTATCAAAACATTTTGGACAACGTGTATAGACAGCTTCCTCGTCATCATTAATCAGAATTGTATCACGATTATCATCCTCTTCTTCAATATCAATATCGTCTAATCCTAAATCAACAACACCAACATCACCATCATCACCAATATCCACTCCGTAATCTATGAGTTCTTCTTGTAGTTGTTGACGTTGTAAACCAGCATTGGTTATTGTGCTTCCATCATAATCAATTTTTTGACTAAGACCAAGTTGATTAGATCCAGGAGCTGCAGCATTTTCTAGATTCTCCGTATTATTTACATATCCTATAGAATCAATTCTATCTGAATTCATATTTGCTACATACTGATTTATATTGCTACCCTAATTGGAGTTTGTAAAACAGAGAAAATATAAACTGATATTAATATGTGTATGTGTTAATAGTTGATTAAATACTCAGAAAGCGAAACGTGTGTATTTAGATAATTTCAGTTCTAACATTAAAAGTGTGCTCAACTTGAAGTGGACAATTTAAAATTATCAGTAACTTCGACATAAAATGTAGTTATTCTCTAGGTCATTTCCGATTGTTATCAAGTGACCTCATATAGCTACTTCTGATTGGCTCATTATACTTATCACCATGTTCAGATTCATGCATTTGTTTCGACACACAATAACTTTAAGGAGTAGTGATACCAGTCGGTTTCATAAAGTGATGTAAGCAGACCGGGGTTCAAATTTACAATTTAGGGGTTGAAAAGCCGAACGCTTTAATCAATGGCTCCACAACATCATATTTGAGCATTTATACACTTACCAATGGAATAGAGAGTTGCGGTAGGCCACTCAAAGGAACATTATGTACAATAGATTGTTGATTGTTTAGCGGAATAGATGGGCATGGAGCTGGTGGTATAAATTGATTAGTAAACATATTACTTGAATTAGCAATACTTAAATTTGTCTGACTACAATGCTAAAAAGAAAAAAGTAAAAATTAAAAGTTATTGTTATTATAGTGATTATATGCTATGCAGAATGATCATATTTTGTGATGTATCTGGATTAAATAAAGTAAAATAACACACTATGTACTACATTTAAGCGTTAGTTCAGTCGCTTATCAGTTAATAATCGACATATATACATCTTACGACGAGCATCATTCAGTTTTACAATATATACAGATAATAATGTCATGAATGTTTAACTATAGCTAATAAAAATCTGACATCAATTGACAGCGTAATAATTCAGAAAGTACTAAACAGTTGTTTTATCTTAGTAAATCTTCGATGTCCTTCATCACTAAAGTGAAAGAATTAGGTCACTTTCCAAATGTCCTATGGGATAAAGTAATCAAATGAAACTCTTAAATACAAGCAAGATATGAATTCAAGCCACTTGATAACAGTACTGAATGGTATAAACGTGTTGGAGAGAGAACTAAAGAATTTTTTGTTTTCATTTATAAAACAGATTAAACTTTTGCTTAGTAATCCGAAAGTGATATCATTAAACATGAATTAGTTGATGAAGTTGTTGTTGACATAAGAAATACTGCATTCCAAATTCTAATTCTAAACTATCACATATCATTAATTGACATTTTCAATATGAATAAACCTTTCAATGCTTTTCTTCTCTAGCTGTTTTGAATTCTATCAGTTGTGTTCCATTTTCCCTTTATCCAATAGACATGATATAATGGTGCTTTTGATAACATCTGAAGTAAAGGGATTTACCGTAACGGTGTGGTAGTCTCATTACTATTTTTTAAAAAATACCATAAACTACAATATTTTCTTTTTATTTATTTGACTAATCAGCGACGCGTTGAATAGAATAGAATAGTAGAAATACCTTATCTACAAGGTGTATACTTTTTCTGAAAAATAGAAAAATAATTAGACAACAGAATATCTGCCAATTCGTTTGCATCAATGTGTACTAAGTTTAAAGGGGTTAGCGACATCGTATCTCATTTAAAGACCTAAATAAGATGTGGGTGGTCTGTAGACAATAACCACTACATTTGTGTAGTGTTCAGGTTCGTATATCGAGAAGCCCCAATGGAGTTCATTTGAATGTGTGCTGCAAAAATTGGGTTAGAAAGTGATAAAACTAAAACTAATCAAAGTCAGATTCGAAGGCAAACTGCACTAGGATATGACGCCAGTAGAATTTTTCCCTAAAACAAACAACATTTACAACAATGGTACTCATCCACAACAAAAGGTTCAAAAACATCCGACCTAAAATTAGTACATCATATCTTAACAGTATATGATCGGTCTCAAGCAGCTATCCCCTAACTTATGTAGTCATATTTGCAGATTGTTAAAAGCACATTCAAACCTGGTAGTGAACATTTAACGTAAAGGATAGAAAATTAAATGACTTTTGACTACTAGACAACTATATCAAATTTTGTTTTAATTACAATACAAAAATCTATAATTCAACGTGTGTATATTATCAATGAATAAATGATATGTGAATTCAATATTCATCAATAATACACGGAATATTTGTGTCAACTTTTTATCTTATTAAAACATGATTGTAGTTACGTTTTATTTTTTTTTTTTATTTTTAAAAAAGAAATGTCGAAAGCATAGTTTAAGTGAAAATATAACTGTCTGCATTCCAATATATACGAATAATAAATTATATATATTTATTATTAAAAATTGTATCTTTCTTCACTGGTCACTGATTAGCAGCGTGTTTGATCAGTTAATATAAGAGAAAGTGGGAGGGTGTTTAAGTGAATGTTTCACTTTACTTCATATATTTATCTTTTGTGAGATAGATTAATCTAGCATTTAAGTGTACTGAACATTCAGAACATAAAATTCACGGTCATTATCAACATATGACATGAAACGCATATATATATATATATATATATATATATATATATATATATATATATATATATATATAAACTTCAGATGTTTCTATACGGTAAAATAAATGTTTCACTAAGTTTAATCTAACCAACGGATAACCTTTGACATTATATAACTGTGAATGTCTAAAATATGATCATATTGTTTTATGGTTCCTTAATATTTGGATTATGTGATTACTTTTTTTTCTATTTAGATGAGTAAATGAATATATGATATGACAATTGAAAGCCCATCGTCAAGTTAATCGATTTTTTTGTTATTGACATTTCACAGAAGGACAACATAAAATCATATCAATTCTATTCCCATTTCATGATGAATATGTAGTGTATTCCTAGAAATCATCGAGTTGGATAATCGTATTTATAGTGATGTAATGAATACTATGTATATTGATGTTTGATCTAATCACATATATATTGGCTGTTTTTAATAGGAAGTTCAACCACCCTATGTTCGATAACACTTGTACAATGGTTCCTAAATTAAGCAGTGACAACCTGCTGTAGTGTGTTTACTCAGGGAGAAAGAGATTTTACAATCAGCTGACATTTGATAAGCAAACAATACAGTAAATGATTCAGAATAACTTAATTTTCGAAATGTATTCCTAAACGTTTCAGTGATCGATTGTAATCTGTAATGAAGATAAAGTCGTTACCAATCGATGACAACAGATGATGTACATGTTAGAACATGAGAATCATTATCTGTCATTCTGATGGCTGAATGATAGTTTTCTAGCTGTGAGATCTAAACGTCCCAAATTCAATCACTAGTCCTTGATGAGTTCCAACCTACCACGAAACATTTTTACAATAACAGTTCATCAAGCATTGTCACTTTGTGATAGAAATTGTAATGATATTTAATCAAAAGCTAATTCCAATGAGATTTGAATAAAAATTTTATAAGGAAGATAGGCTTCTTAGTTGCACCTAAGTGTATGGAGAAGTTGGGTAACTTAGACCATAAAAAATAACATACGGACAATTTCACTCATACTCAACATAGATATCTAAACCATAAGTGTCATACTTCAATCTTATTTCCTTTGAATAGTATTTATAATTTCTAAGAAGTTCCTATAACAGTTGACTTTTTGTTCTTCCTTTTGGATTTTCATTTTCTAAGTATCTACTTTCATTGTGTTGATATGTCTACTGGTATGATAGTGACTTTCACTGGTACACATGCGTTTCATGTCAAATGTTGATGGTGACCGTAAATTTTATGTTCTGAATGTTCAGTACACTTAAATGCTAGATTAATCTATCTCACAAAAGATAAATATATGAATTAAAGCGAAACATTCGCTTAAACACCCTCCCACTTCCTCTTATATTGACTGATCAAACGCGCTCCTAATCAGTGACCAGTGAACAAAGATACAATTCCTAACAAATAATAATAATTTGCATTTAAAATGAGCCAAAAATGTAAGGTTATATTCCATGTTATTAGTTTGTGGGTGCGCATTTATGAGCAGTTCAATAATAGGACGAACCGATTGTCAAATGTCGACTGTTTTTATCAATGGTGCTCTAACGAAGATTTGTTCGTGTCATCGATTCCACGCTCTCCAAAAACCTACCACCTATACTGAAAATAATCATGCGCTCACTAGAGACTACCTTTCAGACTCGATTCCTGGAGTGCTAGTGAGAAGCTACGACCGGTGAAAACCGATCGTGTTGGATATAAAGCAGTTGTACAACGCAGAAAATGTAACATTGTTGCGAAGTATCGTAGACTGACTGAAGTTTGACATCTACGCCTTTGAAGAGAATAAGCATTAGCACGCCAAATCGAGAGTCCTGGATCATATCCCCCGTGATGCAGTCGTGAATGTGCACTACCGAGGAGACTCATACGAAGACAAAACAATTGCCCAGTGCTTTTTGGTTTCTAGAAGTGGACCAACTAAAATCAGTTCGTGATTTAAACTACAAAAATAGACTTTATCTTAACAGAACAAATGATACACTATCACAGAGAACATAATTAATAAACGTTCTTATTAACTAATTTATCAGTTAACAAATAGCTTTAATTGACTCATGAACTCAACTATTAAAAAGTTTTTTGTTTGTACAAATAATTTGTCAATATATAATGATTAAAAATTATGCACTTCAACATAAAGCAAATACAGAATGTATATATTTAGAAATTTTTGTGATCATACATACGTTACTACCTATATCACAAATCCAATGAATATATTTAAAATGTACGACATAAATAAATAAACACACCTCTGGTTGTTGTTTAATATCCGGATGCATAGCCGTTGACGGTAAACGAAATGCTGTAGTTGATGAACGATTTGGTCGATTATCTACAACTGCCGCTGGTAATATCGGTAAATTAATACTTAATTTATGACTGATTGGTAATTGTTTAGATGATAACGCTGATGAGTCAACAACTTGATGAACTGGACCAGTATAAAAGAAATCTTTTTTATATTGTGGTCTTGACATTTCTTTACGAATAATTAATTGAATATTAGCTTTCATTTCATCATCTAATACATCGGCGCCAGCAGTATTACCATTATTATTATGAGGATCTACAACACCGATTGATGTAAGATGAGAAGTTAAACTAGCCTCGGATGTAGTACGTTTTAAACTAACAGTCTAAAATGTAAAACAATATTATTCATAATAAATGAAAAGAAAGCAGACATTACCTGATAGAGCAAAGCAACTGTATTGTATAATATAAAATTTTAAGTACTGACGCTAGAAGTTTATTAATCCTCACGAAAGCACATATTAAAAATATGAAACCGTTTACCACTAGCATATGAAAAGTTCCAAAAGAAAAATGATTAGGATGATATTTGTTGCTGAATTCAAGACAAAAGAACTAGTCGGTAGTTCGAAGACTTAATATTGCTTTATGATTTATTTCATTTTGCACAGAAAGTTCCTTATTCATAGAACATATTTTTTGATTGAATAAAAGGCGTGAAAATTATCTTAAGGTCATTTTATTTCATTTTTCGTCTCTATATTTGAAATTCAACTGCCAGTATTGGGAGATTTTGAATTCAATCACGTATGAAGTACTTGCATTGAGTATTACCGAGAAAATGGAACATCTGTCCCATGTTTTTAGGACTTTAAGCAATCCAACTGATGATATCAAGCAGTGAAGAAAATGATCTTTATGAAAGATGAAACATTATTACACTCTCTAATGAATATCCGAACTGAATCAATGAAGTTGTTTAAATATGGATTACCATAGTCTTTCTCTGTCAGCAGGTCTTAAATTCTTTTTGCCTCCTGATTCACTGACTAAGTGATTTTTAAATCAATGAATTCATAAAAGTTATAAAAGTCTATGCATGTTATTCGAAATAAAATATTTGAGCATGATAAAACAATGTCTGACATTTCTGCCCAAGTTGATGATATCATAACGAAATCAATAAAGTACTGAAAAATCATTCTACGAGCCCGACACCAATTTCTGAATAAAAGAGCGAGCAATTTACACTACATAACATGAAACAAGACAGTCAAGCAGCCTGAATAATGAGAATATTCTACAAAAACAGGACAAATTTATTGCTACAAATGTGAAGTATTGTGAAAGGGGTTAAGATTGATAGATGTAAAATTTCGAAAAATAGATTTTAATGATCTCATTCGGTGTTTTTTTTGAAGAAACAATACAAAACAATAATGATATATCTAAAAATTCTGGTTAGGCAGACAAGTAAAAAACAAACCTCAGAAACAGAACGAATCGGATGTGTCCTTGTTTGAGTGGAATCACGTCCTGTTGTTGATGATAGTGGTGGGTTAGTAGAACCACTTAGAAAAGCCGGTGAATTCGATGTAATGACAGAAATCATTTGATTATTATCAGAAGGTATGGGCGCATTTCTAGATCCTGTGAATCCACCACCATCTAAATGCACTGGATTTTCTCCTGATGCCAACTGAACAGTGGCAGTATCATAATTGGGCATAATCACGGTACTCTGTATGTATACAAATACACAACAGGATATCATTAAGATTTAAAATAACACCATTTTTATGTGCTTGTTTCATAAGGAATAGACATGTTCTAAACTATTGTAACAGTATATTTAAATTTGTACTTTCACTTACTAACACCTTTAGACTAGTTGAAAACATTGGTGGGTATCTGCACACATTAGCTCAATGAATAGAGCATTGGCGTTAAAAATGATGAAGTTCAAGTTTCAGTATGGACATCAACACCAGATACATGCAGGTTCATCCATCTGACGAGCCCAACATAGGGCAAAACACATGTATTAGATTCCTATTCCAGCCCAAGGACAAATATTACCAAAACTAGTGACAACTCTTTATATCGAGATAATCCGATCGAGATATACATATGACAACAGAGACTGATCAACTGCAGTACTAAACAAAAGAAAAGTGTGAACTTAAAACTCTTTGTAAAGCTTCATGCACATAGTTCCCTTTATTATTTTAAAGACCAAGAACAAAGGTTGGTGCAGAATAATATGAATTCATTTTATTTCGTTAAGTTCTCATCAGCTGCTTACAACCTAAAATATTTGAAATTCAACGTTATTACAGATATTGACTTACTTATACATCAGAGGGTGATGAAGGATGAATATAAGTAAGCGAAAATTCCGTTAGAGTTAATGAGGTCGTAAAATTTTTGTTTCGAATATATAGAGTTTGGGAGGGAAGGTTCCATAACATAGAAATAGTGATTAGAACTCATGGAATTAAAACACATTAGATAATTATGTAATAGAGTAACTAAAAATAGATTAATGGTAATAAAGAGAGATATGAATTGAAATTGGTCAGTTATGAATGATGTAATTATGAAATTCAGAAAGAGTTGGAATGACGTAATAAATAAAGGGGGACGGGGTAATGGTACCAGATTAAAGAAAGATTTATCACTGTTTCTTTTTGTATACAAAAATCTGGTTTTAGACGTTTGATTGCTATCGCTTAGGCAAATTTCAAAAGGTTTGAGTTTGATTGTTTGTTGATCACCTTGAAGGACTTCAGTATTTCAACTTCGTGTCCTGTGTCAAGGAGATGTCTTGCGATAGAGTTGCTGAATGCTTTTAGTCCGTTCGATCTCAAACCATTCGGAATATGTTCTTTGAATCGGACGTAGGCTCTCCTTTCTGTTCTACCAATGTAACTGCTTTGACAGATACATGTAAATTTGTATACACAGTTGGTGGTAACATGAAAGGGATACCTGTCAACCTTTGATTGTGTCAAAGCACATGTTATTTTGGACGGGACAATCAATTTAGCTGCAGGATATGTTCTTTTCAATGCAGTTTTTAGTCTCATATTGTTTGACCCTGTGACATTATCACCTTTGAATTTTAGTTGAATAAAAACAGGTTTTTATTTACCGTAGTTTTTTTGGCTATTTTATCTTCACGTTTTCCATATTTCTCAATTAAACTTCAATGGGTATCCGTTATTCCTTAAACACTTTTTAACATTCATAATTTCCTCTTCTATTGTATCGGTAGTACATATTCTTCCTGTTCTGTGAAACAGTGTTTTGATAAGTGCCTTTTTATAATTGACTGGATAAAAGCTGTTGAAATTGAGATAAATCGCATTCCATGTGTCTTTCATATAAACTGAGAATTGAACTGTACCATCCCTTCTTCGTTTCATCGCGATAGCGAGAAAATGGAACTTGTTTTCTTTTTCATATTCCATAGTGAAATGTCGTTCGAATTCTGTTGTTGGTAGAGGTAGGATGTCAGGATGCTGATAAATTATGTCTATGGTTTCAGGAAGTGGTATTTTTGTAAACAATAATGTCATATCAAAAGAAACCATAAACTTACCAGGAATATTTATGTGATTCATGCTGTCAGCAAATACAAATGATTCCTTTAGTGTATAGGTGACTAATCATTGACGAACTGGTTCTAATTTATCTGCCAGCCATCGTGCAAATTTGTGGTATGGCGAATTGACCATTGACAGAATAGGTCTAAGAGGATTATCTTGTTTATGTATTTTCGGTAAACCATACATGTAGGGCGAACGAGACCCGCGAGGTGGTTGATTATTGGAAGTAGAATTATCGGTCATCTTTAGTAGGTCTCTGAGTTTTTTCGTGATTCTTTTCTCAGTGGAATTAGTTAAATCTTTATTTTTTTCTAACTTGAATTTTGTGTGGTCACTCAAAATGGACTTCATCTTATAGACATAATCTGTTGTGTTCATCAGAACAACACTTGAACCTTTATCTGACTGTAATATCATTATTTCGTTTAATATTTCATATTGCTGTTAGATGGTCTTTAGATAAAGGCATAGATTGAGGTGTGGGTGAAACGAGGTATTGGTTTGGGATATCAACTAGTTTAGATTTAAACCAACCTTTCTTTTCTTCGCTAACTGGGTGCAACTCTTCAATTTGATCAAATAAATTCTCAAATTGAGTTTCTGTGTCGATTCTATCGGCATGTGTTTTGGAGATATGAAATTTAAATCCAAGCAACAAGGATTCTGTTTCTATCTGACTTAACTTCACTGTTGATAAATTGTACAGAGAATTTTCAGGGTTTTCCGGGAAGCCAAAGCAAAGTTGTTCCTTTGAAAGAGTCTTTGACAAAGTTACGTGGAAGTTCTTGCTTATTTTTCTTTGCAAACCTTGGATTAAAATGATAAATTTTATGCGAGATACGATACTCAGATCGTTAACTAATTCATCAAAGGCATTAGTTTCTGTCCTCAAACGTTCAACCAGTAACTTTGTTGATTCTATGTGAGATTTTGTGATGCGTCGAAGGTTTTTAAGAGAAGGCGGAAGCTTACATGAGCGCAAACATTTTAAGAATTGAGGTGGGAAACGGCATGACTTGAGACATTCATCAAAAAAATAAGTCGAGTAATTTCTCTCGATATTCTGCAGCGTATTGTCACCAGGCGATTCATATCTCTCTTTATTACCACTAATCTATTTTTAGTTACTCTATTACATAATTATCTAATGTGTTTTATTTCCATGAGTTGTAATCACTATTTCTATGTTATGGAACCTTCCCTCCCAAACTCTATATATTCAAAACAAAAATTTTGTGACCTAATTAACTCTAACGGAATTTTCGCTTACTTATATTAATCCTTCATCACCCTCTGATGTATAAGTAAGTCAATATCTGTAATAACGTTGAATTTCAAATATTTTACGTTGTAAGCAGCTGATGAGAACTTAACGAAATAAAATGAATTCATATTATTCTGCATCAATCTTTGTAAAGTGTTTTATCACGAAAAGAAGAGAACAGTATGTTTAGTTGGCATTGAAAGAAATATATATGTACACCTTTTAAAAGTTCCAGAAATTGAAAATCACGTATACAAATAGAAAAGAGAGATGACAGTAAACGTACGAAAAAAATCCATCAAAATTAGCAAGTATGAGGATTTCATTTCATTTAATTATCTGTGTTGAAAAAGAAACAGTATACACATATTCGACTTAGTTGATCATACACAACACTAAATGTACACTCTATACCAGATTATTATTGAAGTGATAGTGAACGTGACTGGGATGCTTCAGTTTTAAAGTAATATAAAAATAACACATTCAAGTAAGATAAAGAATAAGTATACTCTGTATTAGAGTCGAAGATTTATCACATTCTACTGTCTGTTTGTTGATTTGTTTAGATTTTAATTAAATATGGATATTGATTAAATAGAGATATAGTTTGAAGTTAATTTCGAATAAGAGTTAAATATTATATACATAATTAATATTAAACACAATCAGTAGCAGTTCTAGGGATACAGTTGGCCCAAAGACCGGATAAAGGAGGAGGGTTGGACATGGGGTCAGTAACCACCATCCCGTAGAAAACAACATTACTAAAACAAAGCTAATCAAAATAAACAATTTGAAACATTTAAACTCTGCCAATATAAGTTGAAAGATCTTCGTTCAGAAGAACTAAGACACCTCGTGGTGAAAGCCAAGATTCTTCAGAAGCCACGTGGCCAATAACCCTTCTAACAACCACAGCAACAATTAATATACGAACATGCAATGTCTGCACAATGTGGGATATCAAGAGGATTAATCAAATAGCTACGAAAATGAGCAGATACAACTTGATCGTGCTCCAAATAAGCGAAACCCATTGGATCCAAGCTCGACAGAAAAGGTTACATTCCGGAGAAATGATACTGTATTCTAACCATGTTGAAGACATAAGATCCCCAGAGCTCACTTGGAAAAGGTCCTAATTTCATAATTTTATTCTGAAAATTTGAATTTTATGTTTTCAAGCCAAGAGAAACTTAATTGACCTACAGCTTACATTTACCACTCGGAAATCCTTGACTGTCATTGGTTGACGGATTTTTTTATTACGCTATTTTGTGTGCTTAGTGATCTCGTATTTTCTGGGTGCTTGTAGAATACATTCTCTACGCCTCATCAAGACTGCTTGATCTAGTTAGCGGGGCCGGAGACAATGGATTAGAATAAATTTCTTTCCGTTTAACGAGTTAGGTGAACTCGTAATAGCATTCAATCATAACAGACCATGAAGAAAATGCTCCGCACACTCACGGAGTCGCTCTGATGTGGCCCATAAAAGCACGTATAGCCTTTATAAGATGGGAATCTCATGGACCCAGAATCATCAAAGCGTCTTTCAAAGCAAAGAAGGAGGGAATCACAATGAATGTTATCCAGTGCTATGCACTCACCAATTATAGCAACGTGTCCGATAAACGTAGGTTCTATGAGAGACTGAAATCGATCGTATCGAAGAGCCCACGTTGGGACCTAACAACTGCAACTGAAAACATGCTCCAAACTCTATTGAGGAAGATTTGGGAGGAGGAACAAGTTTCGATAGATTGGAAACAAGGATACCTCAACATGATACCAAAGAAAGGAGACCTCAGCAAATGTGTAAACAACAGAAGCATCATACTGCTGTCAGTAACAGGAAAACCT